ACTTGAAACACTAAAATAAGAGAGACTCTCACTAAGATCATCCAATCACGTTAACTTTCATTTCCCAGAAAAAAGTAAAAAGAAAAATGAGGGAGAAATGATACCTTTCCACGATACCATGGTAGTTTGTCTTCATGTCCATGGTGATGCAGGTAAGTCACGAAATCCAGCCACATCACAAAAATCTTCAATCACAAGCAAAGTTCAATTAGGGCTTGTAAAGAGGAAAACTTAAAGGAGGGAAACAACTGCGAAGTATTTAATCCACAGAGAGTCAAAAGAACTGTGAGCTTACCCAGTAAGGAATGCCGTAAAGCTTGAGCAACTGAATTGGACCCATCACAAATCCTAAGCCTACAAGCAAAGCAGCCATGGCGGTCCAACAAATAGTAGAAGTGATAACATCTTTTCTTTCATTGGGAACGAACAAGTCACTGTTTGGGTCAAAGTGAGAACCAGTCTTTCCTGGACTTCTGCTCCACTGCAATTTGTTTTTTCAGATCATGAACCAAGTCAATTTCCTTATTTCAACAAACTGCTTTCATGAATTTCACATTCAAGTCTTGTGAAAAACTTTCAGGAACAGAAGCAACTTACGAGGTAGAAAGGATATGCAAGCATTGGAAATGGTACAGTAAATCTCAGAGTCTTGGTCAAATTATCCAAGTTCTTGTATATTTTCTCAGGCAGCTGCAAGTTTGAAAATTCAACTTCTCATATTAGAAACTGCAATAGAATGAGGAAGGAGGGGACAAAAGATTACCCCTTTAACGCTTAGGAGTAAATAGATTTTAGCCTACCGGGTGCCAAGATTCATCATTTTCCACATGACCATGGTTTTGGTGGTGAGTTCTGTGACTGATTCTCCTGTATAATTTAGAAAATTACAGTGAGAAGTGTCCAAGAGAAGAGAGGACCAGAGGAGAGAAAGTTCATTTAGAAGCATACCATCCATGGTACGGTACAAGGATTGAAGAATGCAGAAGATGACCGACCACACTGTTCAGCTTGGGATTGTTTGAAAAGCTTCCATGACCACTGAAACATCAAAACCAACAATCAAATGAATCTAGACACAGCTTTATAACCCAAACTAGAAATTTAACAGAGATCAAAGAAATTGGTCATTACCAATCATGTCCAAGAACAAACAGAGCCCAGAACATGGTTCCTTGAGCAGCCCAATACAGAGGCCAAACCAGCCAGTTGTTTAAATAAGCAGCAGCAGCAGCCATTCCAAAAACCATGACCACATCTCTCACAACATAACTCATCGACTTCCATGTGTCCCTCACCCAGCAATGTTTTGGAATGGCTGCTCTGATATCTGCCAATTTGAATGGTGGTGGAGCCCCAGGATCGAATTCTGGTTCTTCCTGGGTGACCCCATTAAACTGCACGTTGATTGTCTCTTTGCTTTCTTCATTCTCTCCTTCAATGGAAGCAACTCTCAAAGGAGCACTCACTCTCAATTCCCAGCTTCTTCTCTCTCTAAAGTTACCAGTTAAGCCTCTTGTCTGAAATTTCAGATCTGTTTCATTCACACCATTGTTTGCGTTTAAAAATCTAACCTTTGAGCTCTTACACGTAACAGCTCCAATTCTGGGTCGAGGGAATGTTGGCGGAAGGGGCTTTAACCCACATTCTGTTAAAACCCAACTTGCCATTGGAGACCCAGATGGAGCTTTTTAGCTTTAAAACAGGGTTTGCCCACCTGGGCTCTTGGGAAAATAAAAAGGAAAAGTAACGGTGGAGAGAGGGGGCGAGAGAGAGAGAGAGAGAGAGAGAGAGAGACGAAAATATGTGAACCAAAGCAGAAAGAAGGCAAAGCCAGGCAAAATATCTTAAAGAAGGACAAAACACTAGTAAACTTATGACAAGGAAAGAAAGAAAAATTTAGTTGAGGAATTAAATCCAACACTCAGTGGGCACTTGTGTTTCAACGACAGCCACACGTTGATCCTCCACTCCTCTGGCTTCCCCCCAGATTCTCCTCCCACCTCAACACAAAGCTCAGCCTCTTAGTTTACAAATCTGAATGAAATATTGAAAGTCGGAAGATCAAAAGGGTTAAAAGGAAAAAAAAAAGGGGCAAAAGCTCAGGAAAAGTTTGCGTCTTGGGGTTGGTCTTCTTGTGGGAGTCTGAGTTTGAGACGGACTTTATATATAGAAGTCGCATAGCGATATTTCCTCGTAAATATGTGTGGGAGAGACCAAGGCGTGTTTACTTTTCCCTTTCAACATTCTAAGATTTGAACTTAGAATTCCCAGTGTTGCCGTGTGGCTGAGGTTGACCTATTTTGTCTTGTGGGTCTCACCCTTTCTCTAATTGGTTCATTATGCGAGTCCGCCCTTTAATTAATGGGTCGGTAGTGCTTGCTTCAGCCCACCCATGTGCCGCACGCTACACAAATTATTTTTCTTTCCTTTTATTTCTTAAACTTTATTATTTAATATTTATTCACATTTCACACGTAGGTCGGAATGGATCAAACGGGGTATGAAATGAAATGAGCACTATGGCTGCTTTTTATGTTCTTGGACTTTTTTAAATCAATCACGTGTTTTATTGAGTAAGCCTCCATATCCAAACATAGTTTATAATTTTAATTTATAGTTATTATAATAATAGGTCGGAGGAATTAATAAAGACACACATGCACACATGTTTTGATCAAAACAAAAATAATTATCCCTCATATTTTGTTATAAAAGAGAAAAAATGTAATTTAAATATTTCAAAAAAGTATGATTGAAACTTTAATTTGTTGTTATGTTGATGTTTGTGTTTGATGGTTTATTTATTTATTTATTTTGGATTTACTTTGGGGGTTTTGGTAGCATCAATCCCATGTGCCGATTAGAAATAAAATAATGTCAAGGAGGGATAAAATAATCCAGAAATTCAAATTATCAGTCTATTTAAGTCCCATGGAACAACTTGGGCTCTTTTAAATTTTAATATGGAAATTATATAATCTTTTATGCATTACTCTTTGTCAATTCTATGGGTCACAAGATTTTTAAACCATTGGCACCTATCTTGGAACATTTATCTAAATTATAGAACAATTTATATTTCATTATCATCTTAAGATCTCAGAATAAAACACATACTTTTAAAATGGTTAAAAATACTTTAATCAATTTCAGACTAAAATAAAAAACGTTAAACGGTTAAGCCTTTGTTGCACAGCAAGAGGTCTTTGATTTGGTTTATAGGGTTACGAAGCTCCTATCAGTATAAAAAGTTAACCCTTAACAGTGTGGCAGTATGATATGAATTTCCACTAAAAAAAACAATACTATTCTTCCGATTTTTAATATGAGAACTAATTAATTAATTTGAGTAGATTAATAATGTTATTTAAATTAGTTAATATAATATATTTTTTCTAAAATATCCTAAGTATATTCGTTAATTCCCTCAATTATTCTTCTACTTGATTTTTGTTAAGGAAATATTAATAGGGTTAATTTAAAAAAATTAATAATTATATGAAATAAAACTTACATTTAAGATTAATATTAATTCTTTAATTAGGTTTTACATTAAAGATTGAGGGAGTAATAATCAAGTTAGAAATCTTAACATTTGAGTTATTCTGAAATATAGATATAATCATATTGTGAGAAGAGGAGGATAAGAAGAACAATCTTTTGTGTCATATATAAGCAATCTCATATAAGGAATTTGCTCCCAAAAAAAAAAAAAAGCAATCTCATGAGGAAATTAAAATTAGATCGCCATTTAGTGAATGTGATTTTGGAAGCCATTCATAAGTAAGTTCTTTTTCCCTTGAAAAATGTTTTTAATTAATGGGATGATAAAATGTCACTAGTGGAGTATATTAAATAGATTTAAAGGGCAAAGTTTTTAATATTATCTCTGCAATCTTACCACAAAAGGCCGAAAACCATTGAATATTTACACACACAAGAAAATATATATATTTATATATGTGATATAAGATTAAAGGTCTAAAAGAAATTAAAATTTGCCAAGAACTTACTTAGATCAAACAATGACGGGTTTAAAATACTTTCATCATTCCATTTCAAACTGGTATTCTAAGCACATAGATCACGTTCCCGTGGGAACACTTTCAGAAGGAAGAGAACACAGGCCTTGATTCTAATACACACACATATCTCCCATGGTCAAATGATAAGATTCGTTTTTGAAATGAAAATATTGATGTGATTTGCAGGTTGAAGAACCGACCTTGACTCTTCCATGGTGTGTCAATTTAATTCTGCTCAGAGTTTAAATTTTTTTGGTTTTCCTGGTAAAAAAAAAAAAAAATTCCCCCCTGTTTTTATCGATTGGATGACTGGATTATTACATAAAATCAATCATACTTTCCTTTGAGTTTGAACCTTTTACCATCTTAACATTTTGATAAAGAATTACAAACGAAAAGAGTAAAATCTTCTTAAGGTATTTAATATTAATTAAGACCGTTTAATAACACTTATTAACATATTTTACGTAAATCAAAACAAAATTCATTTCACAAATTTATCTTATATTCTATAAATTACTTATGAACCCTTCTAAAGGGACCTTAATGAATTTATCATCATCACCAATTTCACCATTTTTTTAAAATCAACAAAATTTTAAACACATAATATAAAATCTATTGCAAGGCAAATTCATTAATAATGCCACTTGCATATAAAACATATATAGTTAATACTTAACGCATTATATAAAGATAATTTTTTAGTTAATACTTAATACATTATATAAAGATAATTTTTTTTACCTATTATTATATGTTATCCATATACAATAAAATAATTTATTGTTAAAAATTTTAAGCAGATCACCATCTAGATATTCCCGAATCTCACTTAGGATACACTGACTTTCTAGCTAAATCTTCACATACCATGGCAGGAAATTTTTATACGCTTGATCAAATGGAAGACCTTAAGATCTGTTTGTTGTATTATCCCTTTTTATTGACTGCAGTTTTCTATTAAAAAAAAAAAAGATATTCTCGAATCTTGCTCAGATTTCGATGTGTTCATTACGCTGGTACGTGGTGACACATTGATGAACACATCTAACGCCTGATTGAACAGTTGCAAATAAATCGGGTTACCATCTTTAACATCGGATCTTAATTTTTAGTCTGGATCTCAGATTGTGATTTACGAAACAATTCAATTCAATTCCATTTGCACTCTTTCGCCCTTCGTTTTCAGGCTTTGAATCACCAGAATCTCAACCTCCGCTTCAATGGATCGAACTCAAATTCTTCTAGTGGGCTTACCGGTCTTGCTCTTCTGCTCTGACATTATGAATCTTTTCTCTTCTCCACCTCACAAGCCGATTTCTCACAAACATTCTCCGATTCCCACCAAGTCTCAACCGCATCTTCAGCAATCCCTGGAATTTCCCGTTCAGGTTTTTCATTTTTTTCATCAACCCTTTCATTTCTAATTCGAATCGGAAGTTTGTGTCGGTGACTTGTTGGTTTTGATGCAGAAACAGACCACCATTGTCCCACCGATTGGGGGCGGCAACACTGTTAACATTGACTTCTGCACTTCTTGTTCTTACAGGTTTGCCTAACCGCTTGACTTTTCTGTGCCATTTTTGTATTAAATTCAATGCATCTATGAGTAATTCAGAAAGACTTACCACCTTTTAGCGCCAGTTCAACATTGCTTTTCTCGTGTTTTCTTTTAAGAAGCTAAAGCGCACAAGGCAAATAGCATTGGCTGAAATTTCATTGGCTTTGAACGCGCATCTTGCCATGTTATCGATTACTTCATTCCTCACTGTTGCATGCATCCTCTGTTAGTGCCCGGCAATCTGAGGACTGTTAAATGCATCATTAATGAAAGTTTTAAACGGAACTTTTACTTTTACCAAATAGGGACATTGAAGGTGGACGTTGAAGTGGCTTCGCATACACAAGGTGCTCCAATGCTTAAATGATGAAAACTCGGGTGTCAACATCATGCTCGTTTCTCACACTAGCATTTCAGAATTTCTCTTTTCCTTTTTTCCTTTCTCCTTTTTTTTTTTGGGGGGGGGGGGTTGTAAAAGCCTTGCAGCATTTTGCTTCTGTTCTTTCCAAACTCATTTTTGAAGATGCAAACTGAGAAATTAGATTAGCAATTTGTTATTTCATGTGATTTTCATATCCTATTTGGAGCGGTTCTCCCAAACTAGAGCATCACTTAAGATAGAGATATATAATAAACATTGGTTGCTTGCTACCGTCAACATGTTCTGGGGAAATTAAAACTGCTACTTCCCTCTGAATTTGGACTTTTGAAGCTCTCCAACTGAAAATCTTCAATTAACCTTCCGATTAAACTTTGCCAGCTGCATTCATATGAGCTCGTTTCATTTATAAAATATCTGACAGAATCAAAATTTCTTGTGCAGAGGAACTGCAGTTGCATCTAAACAATTGCTGGAAACAGCGTTTCCTGGGATTGATGTTGTTTTAGCTAACTGCCCACCTCCACTTACTAAACGCATGGTTAGCAAAGTGATACCAGTGGTGCAACTTGGAATTATTGGACTTGTAGTGGCAGGTGAACAGATATTTCCTAAATTGGGAATAGTGACGCCACCTTCATGGTACTACTCATTGCGTGCCAATAGGTTTGGAAGTATGGCAAGCACTTGGCTTCTTGGGAATTTTGTTCAATCTTTCCTACAGAGTTCTGGTGCTTTTGAAGTGTATTGCAATGGTGAATTGGTAAGTTCTTCCTTCCTTTTTCTTCTGAGATTATACATCATATGACTGTCTCTTCTGATTTTCAATTCATGAATTTAAGATCTTTGTTTTATTGGACGTTGTAGATATTCTCCAAGTTGAAGGAGAATAGATTCCCAGGTGAAATTGAGTTGAAGGATCTTGTTGGCGGAAGAATAGCGAATACAAGATATGGTCCTGTCTGATCCAAGAATGTTAACTTGGCTGAATTCGTCAGCATCAAAAGCTAATGTGATTGAATTATATGACAGAATCGCTGCATCTTGATTGAGATTTACGAAACGGATTGTAGAGATCAGATTTCCTGTGTTAGCTATTTGTCCTGTACATTCTATGTCAAGCAAGTTATCTCACAAGCATGCCTTCTGCATAGGCATTTATAGAAGTAAATTAAAATAGAGGGGTGATGCTTGGAAAATTCTTCTATTTATATACAAGTACGAAGCACACGCACATGAATAAGCACTAATCACGGCTTAATTTGCCATTTTTGTATCAGGAACCGAATCATAAATCATTATGTTACTTTCGAGTCCTACCTAGTGCCTACTTTTATGAAGGGAATAAAAAGTTAGCGAGCAAGATGGCATCTTTTCATCTCTGTTTCCATGGTTGTTTAGAGAAACAAAGTAAAAGGAACAACATATTTAACTTCATGATAAGGCACATGGGATGATCATAAGATACGATGAGATTCTGCCTCCCATTTATTTCCACGAAGATGCATCCTGTCCCCGGGCCACTTCAAAATGACAGTGAATGGTTAGAAAGGAAAACGCATAAACATACCGCAGGTATATTGGAAAGTATTATGATGGCAATTGATGTAGATAAGATAAGATTAATTTTGCAAAATGTGATGGTGATTGGATAGTGGCAATGTCCCTTTTCACAAATCCTTTTCGAGGCCTTGCTTCCATGTGCTTAAAGAGAAGAATAAGTGCGATTTGGAGATGCGTTTGTTAAGTGCTTATAGGCATTTTCATGTAAATTGAAACAAAATTTTTCTCATATATTTAGCTAATATTTTCTAAATTACAATTAAAACACTGTTTCTATGTAAATCATTCCAAACAAACCTTTATAATTAGACTCATAATGCTACTAATGGCCCAAGAAATTGTGATGCACAGGCCCAAATAGAGAATCTTATTAGTTTATTTTTTTGGTTTACAGACATGGTTTTGATGGAAGCTAGTGAAGTAAGGTTTTTATTTTTTTTAAATATATTGTGAACAAATTGCAACAAAAAAAGTTATATTATGGACAAAAGGTAGTATTATCTAATAATTTTCCTTTGCATTAAATGTTTTAAAGTTTTTTTATTTTGTTAAATCCTAAAATTAAAGAAGAATTTAAAAGAACATTTTATTCTTTGAAGTTTCCTGCTTTATGTCAAGACTCAGACAAGGAATACATTTATAAAGAAAGTCAGCCCGATGTCAAGGGGATGTAGCTCAGATGGTAGAGCGCTCGCTTAGCATGCGAGAGGTACGGGGATCGATACCCCGCATCTCCAGCACTTTCCCTTTTGTTCGCTCCTGTCATTTTTGCTCTATTCGTTTCATTTCTTGGTGCCGTGTTTCGAAAATCTCTTCCCTTCGTCTCTTTTGCTTCTCCTCCTTCCCTCTCGGTTCATCCCATTATGCTCTGAGATCCATACCCATAGCCATAGGCCTTCACTTAACAGTTTAGTTTCCAGTGACCCACGATTCTCAAAGAAAGGAGAAAGGATACAATTTTCCAGGCTTGAGTTTCCTTTTGTTTGGTTTCTGAGAAAGTGATCGGTTGCTGAGCAAAAGGGGTGCCAGAAAGCTCGCTTTTTTTTTGAAACAGGAGCTTGGGGATTGTTCAGAGCTTCTGCCTCTCTTTCTGGTTTTCTCGATAACAGCACTGAGGAGGGGAATTGGGAGGCGGAGGAGAGGAAAAGGAACAAACAATACTGAATATACTAATGGTCTTCTCACTTGCAATTTTCATTTTTGCAAGTCAAATTCCAAATGTCCCAAAAACGTCTTTACTGGATTCAAATTAGGATACTAACATTTAAAAAAAAAATACAGAGGAAAGGCAAAAGTCTTGAGCTAGTAGTACCAGATACTATCCTACAAAAATAAATAATATCTAAAATTTGCTAGTTAAATCCTGCCTCATCAAATTTCTCCCTGGCGGTTCCAATGCAACTGGCAAACCGGAGTTCAAAATTTCATGAGCATAATAAGCTATAGCTTATTAATACAAGAATTGGCTTATATATAAACATATTTACAAGTAACTTTTCATCCATGCATAAGCAAATCTCTATTATCTTTTGTGATTGCAAAAGCTGATTGGGATTTTAGCTTCATCTGATATACTAAATCTGAAGTAAATAAATATAACTAACCAATAGTATTCCCAAAAAACACCAATCTAACTTAAGGACATGACATAGTATAAATTAACACATATTTATTATAAATAACTAATTTAATTAATTTTTTTGATCTACTCAAATTAGTCACCTAACTCTTATATCAAGGACATGAGATAGTATAAATTAACAAATAGTATTTTCAAAAGGCACCAATCTTTCCCAATGTATTAACATGGGATGACATCTTTTTTCTTTTTTGCACAGAAGAGGGGCAAATGCTTGAAAATTAAAGGAAACTAACAGTTAAGGGAAAATAATCCCATACCCCTTTTGAACAACATGGTCCGAAGATGTTGCAGACGAGTATCAAAACAGCTGATTTTGACGAGTCATTCTTCGCAAGGACCTTGGCCGTATGATTCTGTTTGTCTTGAAATATACTTCAACCATGCAGAGGCACCGAGTAAATGTTATCATGTGTCTGATCTGAAGAAACCATACTGCATTTAGATAATTTTGTATTTTGGATCTCTTCACATAGAGAAACTCCTGGAGACAATGAGTTGTATTTAGCATTATGCTGTTAGATAAAAATAGACATACTTTTTTTTGCCAAAAAAAAAAAAGACATATTGTTCCTTAAGGAGTAATTAATACTCGTCTGTTCTTAATATGAGAATTAATTAGGAAGTTGATTTTGATCCTATATACAAAATCTACTTCGCGTGTTTATTAATTTTTTTTTCAAATTAACCTTATTAATATTCTTCTAACAATAATTAAGTATGAGAGAAAGAAAGAGAATTAAGGAAGATGCTTAAAGTATTTAAAAAAAATCATATTAATTATTTAATATTCTTAATCTATTCAAATTAGTTAATTAAATTTTACATTAAGAATAAAAAATTATAATAATATGGCTCTATTTAGCTAGAGGTACCAATAGTACAAATTTGTGGGTCGCATTCGTCTGCAATTCCCATGGTGGGGCTCTCGCTTGGGGACATCTTGGATCTTTGATATTCTTCCCAGAAAAGGACCGTGCACGGTTACACAATTGATCAATGGGAATGCAATCATCATTATCACTCAAATTTGGAAAAATAATATAGGAATAATATATTATTATTTTATTCTAGTAAGCTCTTCAAGAGAAGGAGAGGATACACCCAAAATAAAAGAGAGAAAATTCCTAAAAAAATGGCAGTTGAATTTTAAAATTTCAAGTATATTATTACAAAAATACATTGTGATTTGCTTTTTTAGTGCAGTTATTTTTTTAAGAGAGTAGTCATTAATACTGATATGAAATTTTAAAATTTAATAATCATTTTTTTAAAATTTCCCAATAAAATAATAAACATATCCGTGCCAAATATTCCTACATATAGTCACCGGGGAGAGACTTCTCTTCCCTTCTCATTATCATCTTATTTTTCAAACCATAAAATCAATATTTTAATGATTTAGATTCAATCATTTATAAAGTATTTTTATGCAATTTTAAATTCTTCAGATTAAATTTGAGCAATTCAAATATGATTAATTATTTTTTAATTTAATATTCTAATTTTATTAAAAAATTAAAAATCTTAACCATCAAAACTTGGATGTGATAATTGATTGTAAAAAAATGAGAAGATAATCACCCTAGAGGATCTCACGGCGGAAAGGCTTGTACAAAAAAAGATATTCAGGGAAAAAATAAAAGGCGAAAAAGATGCACTATTAATTACTTCTACTAGTTTAAGCTTCGGGCGGAACCCGCAGGGAAGAAAAAGAAAACATTGCATTAAAATTCTACTTAAGAGAATTGAACATAAAAAAATATCATAAAATTATTAAATTAACTTAAGTTTTAAAGGATCTTATTACAAGAAATTTCACTTATTCAATTACTAAGTTGCTCTCATTGTTTTAAGTATATACTAACAATTAAAAAAGTAGTTATTAACAATTTAAAATGCGAATATTAATAACAACATGTATTAACAACTCATATCTTAAATCTTTCTGATGTGCTGAGAAAATATATTATTAATACTTGTGATGATAGTTATTAATCTTTACACCTTATATTATTAACGGTTATTTTTTTAGTTGTCAATATATACTTGACAAAAAAATAATTTAATAATTAAGTAAATAAAATCTCTTTAGTTTATTTTTAAGAGGCTTTAGGTTATTTTTAAGGAATTTTTTGCATTTAAGGGGAACTTTTTGCATTTAAGGGGAGAAATTGCTGACGTGGAAGCATGATTCGGCCTTGGTTTGCGTGCCCCGCCACGTGTCTTTCCGACCAATTCAATTGCCATCATCAATCTGTCTCTCTTCTCTCTTCAGTTTCGTCCAAATCTAAACTTCCTGTCCCGTTCTCTTCATCACAGCTCCGATAGTTCAACCATTTTTCCGTCACCTGCAAAACCCTAACTTTTTGCTGCTATCCGCCATCATGACCGTCCTTTCTTCCAAGAATCGAGGTCTGTATTGCATTTTGATTTGCCATACATAACTGCTCTTCTGTGATTGTGGAATCCTTTATTAATTTTCTAGTTTGACTTTTCGCCTTAAAAATCATAACAATGTTACATGAAAATACTGTTGTATAGATTAAAATAGTTCTGGAGAGTGTTATGAGGGTCGTCTTTATGTACTGGTTAGGGAACCATATTATTATTCATTTCTATGGTCGTCTTTCCAACTCATGGGAGCTTGTTATCGTACACAGCGCATTGGTAGTGGAAACGCACCAATTAAACACACTGCGTTATCAGCTTGTTGCTTGGTCTGATCGGATAGAATGATTACTCTTATTTTATAGTTTTTACGCCATATATGATGATTAATAAGAGCTATTCTTGCATACTTTGATTTCACAGATGATGATGCGAAATATGAGATGCCTTCCTATTTTCACTTGCCATCACTGGATATCTCTGTAGCATTTCCTCAAGCAACTCCAGCCTCTACATTTCCTCCGTGTGGTAAGAATTGTTTTTAATAGTTCACGTTATGTTTGGAGAAATCTGATGTTTTGGAAGCTTTACTTTATCTAGACTAAAGAGGTTTAAGAAGAGGTTGAGTTTGTCTCTACGCTAACATGCTGATATAAGAACTTTGCATAGTGATGTGCTTGTATATTTGATATAATAGACTATATTTGGTTCA